GGTGCCAAAAGTCCAGAATTCAGTTCCTACTCATAACTATACTTCTAATTATTGCTAATATGATGGTACCCAGCAGTGCAGGAACACAGCTGAGCATCCAGGACACAGCAGAAGTGGTGACTTCTGGTTGCTGCCACAATTGTGAATGCAAACACATGGCTGTCAGCAGGAACTGCTTTTTTTTTTTTTGGCACTGATGATACCACCTAAAGACTAAGGAAGGGCCTCTTTTGTGCCAGGCACTGTGCAAACACAGCCCCTGCCCTGAACAGCTTATAGCCTAAAACAAAAACAAATGGGAGGGAAGGAAAGGGAGGGAGAGTGACTTGCCTACTGTGAAACCAGTTTAGGTGTGAAGAGGGAAATACCAGTAAAACCCAAGTCTGCCAAGTTTCCAGCCAATGCCCTATTCACTGGACCATAATGCTCCTTAGGTCAGGGACAGTCAGAGAAAGTTTTTAACCTTACTGTGTTACTGCTCTAAACTCCAGCTAGCACTCAAAAGCCCAGAACTGATGCAGGGAACTTTGTGTGTCTTCAGTCTAAGGTCTACAGTTTTCTGACAGTGTTGGCTCCCTGTATATGCAGCTCCTAGTTATTACATATCCAGCACTCAGAAGAAGCAACTGATCCCAAGCAGTGCTACGCAGGATATTTTATCCATAGCAGCAGTTGCAGCATATAACCACATAAATGAAGGACTCTGCTGTGGAAAAGAAAAATACACCTTGAGTATATTTACTTGGCATATGCTTTTTCTAGGAGGGAGGGCCAGAATTCATTTCTCGTCTGAGGGTGGAGAAACAGGTAGTTCCCGTTCAGGAAAGGCAGCTTGTCATCTATCACCACATCCACCCAGTCTCCAAAATGCCAGAACTGAAAAAAAAAAGAATGAACCTATTTTAAGAATAAATACTCTTTCTGAACAACAGTCTCCAGAAATAGCCTGAGAGTGAATCTAAACCAGGGATGTGTGTAATGTCTTTGCTTCCTCTCCTCAACTGTTTTGGACTGTTGCTGCGCACGGTTAAACAAGCTGCTGAGTTTCATTTCAAAGGTGACTGCCTTTCAATGGTGGGTGAAGTCACTGGGGGACATCAAGTGCTCTGGGATCCTGTTGGATGAAAAATGCTACAGACATGTTAGGAGGTTGGTATCAATAATAATTGGACTACAGCAGGTATTTCAGAGAAACAAAAAACTCAAGTGTCTAGACAAAATGATAAATCTCAGAACTCAGCTGTCTGGGTCTTCTCTTATGGACACCTTTTGGTCAGAGAAGCCTTCCATCAAGTTCTGGCCTCTGGATTTTTTTCTATTTCTATCCTCCTGAGTCTAAAACCTGCTTAGATATATCTCTCTGTAAACTTTTATATGATCTGTAATGGCCATATAGAGAACAGTGAGGGAGGGAGAAAAAGGATGACTTTGGGCTATTATCCATCTGCTAGATAGATGGAAAAGAAGTGACTGGCCACTTCAGCAGCTGGGCAGAACAGGTGTTCTTCTGACTGATCCAGCTGATGAAACATTTCAAGGAGGGAGATAAGGAGAGAGATCAGTGGGGAAAAATCTAAAGGAGTCATTAGCAGATTAATGCAGTGCAGCATGACTTTGCAATCATAGGACGCCACCTTCAGAGCTGTTTTACTGCTAAGGACTTTGGTGATGTTTTGCTGGGGTAGAGTTAGCTCAGAATAACTGTGGCTTTGGAGACTGAAAAATACAAAGATGACTTGTTCTATTAAAACAGTATTGCTATTTGCACTCAAAACCCTCAGTGACTAACTTGCTCAGCAATTTTAAATGAAAAGGAGGGATAGATAATTTGTCTCAGTCTGCCTGACACCAAACCACCCATTTTTTTAGGCTAAATACAGGATGAAGAAGTGGGTTCATATTTTATAACACGAAAGCCAGGGCTGTTTAGAATACTGGTTATATCTGAATCACTGAAATATGGAGAGAGATGGATTGTATACGAGGCCTTAGATTTAGCCTGTCTGTAGTTTAGGCTTATATATATAAGGGAAGTAAAAAATGGGAGAGTGCTTATGAAATCTAAACTGCTGTCCTTCTAAATGAAAATGCCCTTTTCTCCCAGAGTGGAGAGTACTGGCTCAGTAAGGAAAGCTTAGTCCAATAGCCAGCTTCACAAAGTGGGAAGCATAGGTGTAAAGGATTTAGGTTTGCAATTTAGCCACACCTTCACATAGCACCTCATGTGTAAACATAACAAGCAAACATATTTCCAGAGTACAAACAATGTGCTGTGTCTGGGGATTAGCGCAATTTGAATCTAGATATTGGAGATTTTCCATAAGTCAAGAGTAAAGTTCAAACTACAACATGACTCTTGCCTCTGTTTGGAGATTAGTGCAGTCTAGGAGACCTTCTGACTTTAGAATTGCATTTTTTAAGCTTGGATAAAGAGGGCTGCTGAGGCTCCAATAGGCATGCCTGTCTGGGCTTGTCAGAGCACACAGACTTAGACAGTTCAACCACAGTGGAGCCATCACTTGAATATGAACACCCGGGCAAACCCTGGCATGCTGCTGGAAGTGACACTGGTGATCAAAGAAGGGGAGCACTTCCTCTGAACACATACAGGACCAATGACTCAGGCTTAGCAAGGTTTTGGAGGTTTGCCTCAGGACTTCAGCTGAGGAAATTATACTGAATGGATCAGGGAAGGGTCCTGTTGAGGCTGCATGCAAAGAAGACAGCTCTTGACACCCACTGGTTTTTTTAATCAATGAAATCAGGAAGGTGGTCTCCTGATTTTAAAAAAATGACATTGCGTTTATGGCTTTTATTTTACTAACCAGCTGGCAACTGGATGCCAAGAACAGCAGAGATGAAAAACCTCTGAGTTTCAATTCCTGTGGTAGACAGGGATATGGGCCATGGTAGATTTTGAAAGGTGCCTTTTGAATGAGCCCTGAAGCTGAGGCTTTGATCACTTGTATTCATTAGAGATCCCAGCAACCTTTTCACAGGAACAGGGACTCTAATTCCAATGTCATGACTGGTCTTCATCTTAGGTAGAACCATTCCACCTTTGTTCTTCCAAATCTTTCAGAAGGAGAGAGAATACTTTTTCATCTCTGAACCTGAGCTGCTGCAGTGCATTGTTACCGTGGCTGCTGTGTTCTACCCCAGAGGTACCAGTTCATGTGGTGGACAAAGTGATTCGTGTGCACCCTAAGAATTAAGTTATCACTGAAGGAACTCAGTTAACTTCAGTGCAGGTACTCTGGGGATAAATTTGATCCATGGAATCTCTTATTCATATGGCGCTGAGCTTCCTTCACTCCTGATAACCATATTAGGAGTTGACCAGACTCAGCATTTTATAGTAAACCCTCAGCAGCTGATAGGACTGGGCCCACAGTCTGTAAAGTGAAGAAAGTGATGAAAAGAAACAAAACAGTATAGGAAAATAAAGTGATTCATATCAGCGTATGAAAACCTGAAAGCTTGTTAGTGATGTTGCCTGGAACTGAGAGCTGGGGACAACACTAAAATATCCTTGATGGAATAATTGAAGGGTACTGCTGAAAAGGAATTTTCATTCAGTTTGTTATCTTGGTTGCTTGTTACAGGAAGGATAGAAGGAGATGTATTATCTGCAGGTGAGAGGACAGAGAAAACATTTTCAAATGCTATAATGTATTTATACAGCATGAGATTTAAGGAGTTCTCCTAAATAATCCTTTTGAGGCTCCTATGAAAGAAAGTCTCATTTGCTTCATTTTAATGTATGGCCAGCTGGTTTATCTTGCACCTTTACATGTTGGGAATGAGCCTGAAACACCTGGCATTACCAGGAGCAATGGAATACAGTAAGATATAGATGCAATATCAGGATAGTTCTCCTGTACAGTAGGTAGACTGTAGCATACACTCTCAAGAGAAATGGTGTTGGTGTAGGTATTACAGCATAGTAATGCTGTGTATGTACCAACTTGGGAGTAAAGTTACTCCCAAGTCAGTGCACACAAACAGGGGTACTGCACAGTAAGGTGTCTACATATGCCTTACTGCGGAGTAACTACTCAGAAGTAAATTTGCTACCTGCATCATGCAAGTAGCAAATTAACTCCTGAGTCTGGTTAACTGAGTAACCTAAGTTACTGCATAGTAACAGTGCACGTATAGATGCACCCAGTGAGAATCAGTGGGACAGATTTAAAGTAGATACAAGAATTCCATGTAAAATATGCACTTACATTAATTAATCAGAACACTCTTAGCTTGTTCAGTCACAAACTATAATGTTCAGAACCAGAATACCAATACCTTGAAGCATGGAAGGACCTGAATTATGGAAAGTGTGTTAGCCCACTACAAAATCATAGCCTTTGAGAAAATTCTGAGCAAGGGTCTGCTGTGGAACACTCCAAAGGTCTAGGGCATTTAGGGTTAGGATTGTAGTTCACAATCACTTGTACTCCCCAGACAAATACGTTGGAGCAATGCCACTAACAAACATGTGACCTACCCGGAAGTGGAAAATCCCAGCATAGTTGTGTTGGAATCCTTGATCGTTTGGCAGAACATTGTCCAGAAAGTGCTTCTGCAATGTCAAAGACCCCAGGGCAGCCAGAACCCAGCAGTCACCTTCAAGGAGACAAGAAACAACAAAGCAATCACACTTGCTGCCTCATGGTCTCCTCTCCCTTACCAAGATCTGTCTCTTTCTAATGTTTTGCTTTTGGGAACAGGGTTACTATAGAATGTGAAAAACAGTTTGGACAAAATAGAAACAAGCATGAATGATAGCACTGCCCCAAATTCAAAGACCTCATGGACTATGTTCCTATTTATCCTATTTAAGTTCTTCATGGTCAGGGTTGCCAGGTCTGGAATGGGCTCCCAAGGGAGTTGGTGCTCGCCCCAACCTTGGGGGTCTTCAAGAGGAGACTGGACAGGCACCAGGCTGGGATCACATGATTCCCAGGTTTGGTGACCCTTTTCTTGCCTGCCAGGGGCAGGGGGCCAGACTAGATGGCCTACTGAGGTCCCTTCTGGCCCTAGAATCTGTGAACCCTTCTCTCTATTTAAGTGTATAGCAGTGATTCACTGCTAGGTGTGGAAAAATGATTCACAAGGCAAATTCAGAGATTTCAGAAGGAAACCCCAGTGTTAAAGGCATTCTGATCTGCTGTGATCTTTCTGAATTCTTTGCAGGAGAAATTGTTTTATTCTCTTGGTAAAGTCGAAAATCAACTAAGAGCTGACACGTTCCAAAGGATGACTTGAGTCTAATGAGGGGTGCCTTGACACTAACAAAGGGTGCCTTCTGTCTAAAAAGGTTGAGAACCACTTGTTTTATAGACTGCACCCATCATGGTATCTGCCTGCCATGAAGGAGTGGTAGGGAGCCATTTGGTCTCCACAGATATGCTCCTTACATTGTGAGAGTGTCCTAAGACCTACAAGGAATATAAATGGTGTACAGCCCTGAGCTGGGAGGACCAATTTGGTGACGGTGCTATTTCTTTAAAAAGGAATAAATAGTGACTCCCAAAATTAGATGAGATTTCTGGATGGCAGAAATGTGTGGAATTGTAGCAAGATAAAGACCCATGGCAAGGAAAATGAAGACACTTATAAGTAGGGTGACCATATGTCCTGGCTCAGCCAGGGCAGCCCCAGATTTCAGAGGCTGGTCCCAGCTGGCTATTCAGAATTATAATAGGTGTATTGGAAATGCAGGGGCGCAGGGCACAGTCTGTCCAGGAGTCAGAGTGGTGCAGAGCACCTTGCAGGCAGGCACCACTGCTTGCCTGGCATGCTGCCTCATCCCTCCCAACTTGTGACAGGACGGGGTAGGGGCAGGGGGCAATGTCCCAGATGTCCTGAATGAATGTGAATGTCCTGGATATCCCAGATTTCCTTATGGTAAGCTTAGTTATAAGGGATGGTAAAAGTAAAGAGCCTGGAAAGAAAAAGTTGAAAGTTGCTGGACAAGGACTTTACAGTCACAAAGCCAAATGGAGTAGCAAATTCTGGGGTGAAGTTGATCCACTGAATGTTACTTTCTGTTGGGCCTCAACTAGATCTCTCTTTCTACACCTAGAAGTACACCTAGAAGTAAATAGATAGCAACAATGGGTGTCATTTTGATTTCAAAGGGACTTGAACCATAGACCATGTATAAATGATTGTAGAATACACATAGCATAGTTATACCTGTGTTCTCTGTGGGTTTGAGTGTGTGTGGAGTGAAATACACCAAGTACTCAGATAACAGCAGAAGCAAAGGACCGCAGTCTATTGCTCCATGCTTGTCACTTAGATCTTACCTATATCTCCTTGAGCAATATCAAATCTGCTAACATCATCCACGATTAAACGGGGATTGTGCTGCATCTCCTGAACGAAGGAAAAAGCAAAGGGCAGTATGAGTATCTACCACTCATGCACATTCCTGTCACTTGTAGTCTTTCTTATGGAACTTTTCAACCAATATCCCAGGAGGTCATTATTTGCTACCTCCCAGTGATATTAATCCAACAATCATGACTGTGTAAAAAGATGAATGCTTGAACTACACAAGCTTTGGCACTCTGCTTGATGGAGGCATACAAAAGTTCTAATGCTGCTCAGACAAATATTTCAGATGAATTAATGAATGCTCTTCCAGCACTTTGAAAATCATCACTGCAACATTCCTGGCCAAAAACGGCCCTCTGAAGCTACATGAAGAGGGAAAAAGACCTTGAATCTCTCTACTATAATATGCTGCCTACCATTTACAGGAAAGGAGATACTTAGGCTTCTCTTTGTTAATCTGTGATGCTGTTTTCCATGGAAGCCATGATTATGGTCTACACACTTTGACATCCAAAGGCAGTCTGACTTCCCACAACCTTCTCTTCAGGTTCTCATGCCTCCCTTCTCACCATGTTATCCAGGTTTGAACATCTCTATCAAAGTGTGGTCTTTTGGAAGGGCTGGTGGGAAGGGAAAGGATAGTTTCAGGGTTCTTGGTACTCTGGGGGAGGTTAGCTCAAGGGGAAAGAGTTGTGTCTACGTGTTTTTCTTTCCCTGCTGAGAGAGAAAAACATGCTCAAATGATCTGGATCAGTATCTAGATGTAGCCATGCTTTTCCAGATCAAACCTCTGAGTCTTTTGTGATTGACATGCCACTAATATAGAACTGTCTGAAATGTTTTGCATCATTTCTGTTGATGAAGTTACAGAGAGAACTTATTTTCTGTCTGCCAAATTCCTGCATTCTTACTGATTTTTCTTTAATTCAGTCCTTATTCAGAGAGAAGACTTCTGTCTGAGTAATTAAAAATTAAAAGCCTCTGAACCCAGCCCTGCACACATAAATGTGTCATGCTTGCATGCTGTACTTTAACAAATGTCACATAATTGCATCACATCTTTGTATTTATTGGTAGAAAGATGCTCACTCAATTATATCTCTGAGCCTTCTGTACAAGTAACCCTTGTAACACCTCTCTGCTGTGTAACAGTCTGCTTTGAAACGGAATTAAGTCCCAAATGCAGCAGCAAATAAATATGCCTAAGCAAACAGAGAGGCAAGAGGCAGAAGCAACACCTGACAGCTGGGGCAAGAAAAATCATTTAGCAGCTCTTCATGAAGCAGGACTGGCATTCCCTCTCACATGTTTGATTTGACAACATGAAACCTGCATATGACATGACTCACAAAGCTGTGAGAGCCACGTCAGTTTTTTGAAGTAGCTTCATAGTAACAGACACCCCCAAGAATCCCATTAAAAGTTTTCTTGTCGGGGGGATGACACATGAAGCCATTTCAGGCCAACCAATGGCATATGGTGCCAGTGCAGATACCTGTGACTGGTACCCTAGGCTCCCCACTTTCCCTAATACATCTTGGTGCACTGCTGCTGCCCTTTCACATCCACATGGGTACATTTATCTTCCCTGTAACAGTGTTCGTGACTCCTGTTCTTCCCCCATTGTTGTCACAAAGTTCTGAGTGGCCATAACGTTGCAGTGTAATAATGACTCTAGATTCCTGACAGCTTTGGATATGCTCCAGACCATTGCTTGTAAACCACATACATGCAAATAAAATAAATATAAATATTGACCCGACACTGTTCTGCTGAAGAGCTGTTGACGGGATTCCAGACGAAGCAGACCAAGTATCCCACTTTACATTGACATGCACAATCCAGATCAGTGATTCTCAGCCAGGATGCTGTGGCAGTCTGGGGTGCCAGGAGATCCTTTTAAGGGTATTGCAAATTGCCATACAATAGCAGCACAGTTAGGTGTCCAAACACCTACCCGTGGTTCACAAGATAAATCCAGAGATTTCATATAGAAATCTATAGTGTCAGAAACATTCTAACCTGCTGGGTTCTATCTGAGTTCCTTGTGACAGAGAAACTGCTTTATTCTTTTTCTGTATGAAAGGTAAGAACTGGCATTTTCTGAGGGGTACTTTGTGTAATGAGGCCAAAGCAGAGCTCCAGACCTAGTCCAAGGAGACTCATCTGGACTGCACCTATACTTCAGGTGCATAACCACTAGGCAAGACTGTCAACATTTGGTCCAATGAGGCTGACAACCACTGGTCTAGATAAAGTTAGTGTTTTATGGAGACATGTTATAAAATTAAACACGTTTGGTACATCAGCATATTTCAGCACAGCTTACCAGCAAGGGCTGAGCTGAAAGAGGCTCCTCAATTGGAAGAAGCCAGTAGACCTCTCCAACCAGAGAAAGATACAGTCTAGGGACAGCCGCAGCCTGAATGCCTCCAGCTGTCTACACACAAGTGAATCTTGCATATAAAAACAGAAGCCAGAACAAAATCCATTAAAAATAAAATCTACCCAGCCCATTTTAAGAGCAGTCCCAATTTGGCAGTCCTAATTAAGAGCAGTCTCCAGGAATCTAGGGGGGGACATTACATCAGTGGAAAATGTTATATTTGTCCAAGGGCATTCTGAAACAAAATGACCCCACAATCATAATGTGGGTAAGAGTGCTACCAGGCTGGCAAGCACTAACTATTCGGATAACATAAAGTCAAGTTATGCATTCACTGTCATTAACAGATTCAACAAAAAGTAATTTTGGATTCTTATCTGCACGTTCAACACGTTTCACATATTCATTCACAAATTTCACAGAAAGGATTACTTCTGCTGGGTATCTGTGGGTCCTTGCCTTGTTTCTAGTTTCCATACCACACTTACAAGTACCTTTGTAGCCCAAGAGAGGATGGGTGGTCTAGTATTAAATGTATTAGCTTGAGGAGATTCAGGAGATCTATATTCAGGTGCCTAGCCATTAAGCCAGACTGCCAACACCTTGGTCCTTAACACCTCAAGTCCAATGTGGCTGACAATATTCAATTCTCTAATCCATCATAGACTGAATAAGTCACTTTCTCTGTGGCCTAGTGCCCAGTCTGTAAAACTACAGACTGAAAGGTGTTCAGACTCTATAGCAGTGGGGGCCATATAACTATTTAAATTGGGTAACGCATAGATTTCTTCCTATTCCGGCTGGATGTTTACTAAAACACAGAGAAGGGGAAAATAAAGAATACAAGAAAAGGGGATTCTCTTTCATTTGCTTTTCAAGAGTGAGTTATCCATTTGCTCAGCTTAGTCAAAGTATATTGAGGGATATTTTATCTAAAGGAGTGTGGAAGCTGATAATATACCTTAGAAAGGAAACTGACTGTTCCTGCTGGAATACTGGCACCTTCTTTTAGCTCAGAACTGTGCATCCTGCAGTCAAAAACTAAAGGTCAGGTTGTAATAACAGGGTTAACAATTCTGAGGAAAACCTGAATGGAGCTTATCTGTGGGTTTAACTGAAACTACCAGTCTCAGAAAGATTTGAAAAGGTTCACGGGAAGGGCGTGGAACTTCTTTACAACACAGTCCTTATCCAGGGAGGATGCTGGAAATATTTGAAACTGACGCAGAGTGGTCAACCCAAGAATTTTTTTTTAACTGACAATCTGCAAACTTTTACTGACAACTAAACTTTTTTATTGACCTATGTTTTTATTGACCTGTGATTTACATAATGTAAATGTAACCCATTTGCCAGGCCCCAGATGGCAGTAACAAGTGCTGGGTTCAAATTTCAGGGTTTAACACCAAGGGTGCCTATGTAAGAGCTGGGAGGCTGCTCCAATGTGCTGTACTTACAGTGCATCAGAGTAATCATGGTAATTACCATGCTCCAGCCCACCTCTGTGCCTTGTGTATCACAATCCCTGCACTTCAAAATGGCAGTGGGGGCACTTTAAGTAAAGCTCATTCAATAAGTTTTAGATAAAGCACCCCCACTGACATTTTGAAGTGCAGGGACACTGACGCATGAGACACCCTGGGCAGTTTAACTGGAGTGGCTCTCAGAGCTGCTCTAATTAAAGCACTGCCCTCCCCCATGTTAAAATGCTCCAACTTTCTAATCTGGCTCAAGCTCCTACCCAGAAATCAAAATAAAATTTATTTTCCACCCTCCCTGTCACTCCTACTGCTTCAAACTGCCCAGGATTGTGCATCCATCCCTATCTTCAAGTTGAATATTACAGGTAGGCAATAGCCAATAGAGGACAGAAGCAGCATGTGGCAATGGGGAAGGGTGCTACATAGATTCCTGTGGGCCACAAAGCCCTGATGATGAGCTTCCAGCAAGCGTCAAGTTTCACTCAAGCTCAGACATGATGGTGCTGCTCTACTCGCCTCTGCTCTGCTCTGTCTGTCCATCAGTACTTGCACGTAGCCTCATACCAAGGATAGATTTCAATCAAGCTCATGGTTTCTTAGGGTTTTTTTATGGACAACTCATTTTTATGGACTTAACCGACATGTGTTTTAGTCTTTTTTTTTTTTTTCTAACAGACTGTCCATATAATTTACAGACAGTTAGCTACCCTGACCAGAAGCAAAAAGGATTAGGTAGCAAACAGCAGTCAGAAAAATGTATTGGGATGGCAGTGATCAAGATGACAGTCACCACTGCATTCTCCCTGTATAGTACGATGCATCAAGGGCTAAATTTTCAAAGGAGATCTGTAGGCAGCAAGTGTGTAGTCCAGCTCCCATTGAATACAAGGGCAAAAATCTCATTGACTTAAATTGGGCAACAGCAAGACACAAATTAAGTCGGTTTTGCAAAAGATCTCACTACATAGGGTGCATGTTGGGTGCTGAGGTAAAGTGAAAAATATCACTAGGAAAGCTGTGGACATTGAGGCTGTTTGAAAATCTGGTCCCTCTCTATCCACTAGAAGAGGAAAAAAGGACATAATGTCAATGCATCCATTTGTAAGCAGGAATAAAGCAGAAATGAAATATGTTTTAGAGGGATTATTGAAAAACCTGGCAAATCATCATAA